GTGCGCTTTATATGTGAAAAAAGTTTTAAAAATTAACATTAATTGATACTGCGGCTTACAATCCGGTGCGGCTTATGGTCGTGAAAATACGGTAATCTGATTTCACCAGGCACAAAAGTAAAACCTATCAGGACACAGGCTGTCTAACAGCTTTGTCATTCCACCTTAAGAACGTTTGGGGTGCATATGCAGAACCAGCTAACATCCCTTGCTTGCTTTCTGCAAAGAAGCAGGGTTCACAGTTCTATCTCCTTCTAACTTCTAAGGATTGTAAGAAACTGTAAGAAGAGGCTGTAGCTGGTTTTTTGGTTTGGAGAAATTAAAAGGTGGAAATGGTAGTCATATATTTCCATTCCCACATTTAACATCCCTCCACAACATGAGCCAAAATTTCACAGTTAATTTTTAGTATCAAAATTGCTGAATTTCAGTGACATGATTTGAGGCTGTATGTGTATGTGGGGAGGGGGAGGGGGAACTGTTTGCCTCCCGGTAGGCTCCCATTTCTATCCCTATCTTTCATTTTTGAAAGTAAGAAGGCAGAGCAGGGAAGGCAGAAATTGCGTTGCTGGCTGTGTGAAACAAATTTATCAGCAAGATCTCAGGGGCTGAGAAACTGTAATTGGGGGCTAGGAGAGGGTTTCAGATTGCTACAAGAGTCCCATATCTGCTTGAATACCAGCCAAACCTACTCTAAAAGCTTTTGTGTGTTTAAACATTTTTTGGGTTCATTTATCATGCTAAACTTTAGTGTGGTTTATTTGTTAAGACTTGCATGTTGCTTGAACACAGCATTAGGATTTGTAAACGACAGTGGCATCTTGGTATTCCAACTGCTTTGAAAGTCATCAAATTTGGTACTCAGTGCATTTTGAGGTGAAATTTTTGTCCTAGTACTCATTGTTTGTTTGGTACTCAATGCACAAGCTAGAACTTGTTATTATTGGCTGCCTTGTGACTCACTATATTATTCCTTTTTGGAAAACATTGTTTGATTTTTGATATTCATTGGACTTGATGGAACCAATTAACAAAGAGTGCTCAGATAATTAATCTGATTTCATCAGGTACAAAAGTAAAATCTACCAGGACACAGACCAGCCCCCATCTGGACAATAAAGTTATCAATCCTAAGAAGCCAGAATTAGTATCTGCTTTTCACCAGGAACTACAGTATCTTTTCAGTCCAACGAAAGCGATTCGTGAAGCATCTGGTTCTCTTGAAGGTCATCTCATTCCAATGGCAATTCCATTAGGTATGAATTAAAAAGTTACTCAAGCAGTCTTGCTTAGCGCAAAGCAGATCGGATAACTTCTTTTGATTATCTTTAATGCCAAGTCAAGTCTTAATTTGATACCTTTCAGAGTCACTCTATAAGGGATTTGGGAGATGATAGATAGATAGATAGATAGATAGATAGATAGATAGATAGATAGATAGATAGATAGATAGATAGATAGATAGATAGATAGATAGAT